AAATATCATACAATTTTTAAGTGTTATTTTGTCTCAATATTGGCTCTGCCTCACCATCTAGAATATTCATATACACTAAAAACAAAGATGTATATCCTACTGGTTTTAAAAAAAATTGTTATTGTTTTATTTCCCCGTTTCACACAGTACTCATTGCATTCAGTGTCCTTTTGAAGATTTGCGGTCAATGGGTATTTGGTGACAAGAACAGAGCATGGGACCAGTCCTTCAGGAAGCTTAACTTCAGGACAGGCCCTCAAATCCCGAGAGGACGTGTCTAGTGGTGGTTCTGAAGCCCGGAGTCCTAGCAAGATGAATGGGTGGTGATTAGAATGTTTGTGCACCTGGGGATATTGGACGGCAACCCCCAGCTCCCACTTTCAAGGGAAGAAGGAGTAAGAAGCATGTGATAAGCTATCAAGAACAGCTGCTGTTGCACCTTTAAGGTGCCCTGCAAAGACTGGCAGGTGAGGAGGGGGATTGTGCTAGGGAGGAGGGGAAAGAAAGTGATTAAGGTACAGCCTGTGACTTTAAGACGATCAAATCCAGTAAGGGAGACAAGTACTCACATAATCACATGTTAGTATGGGAGGGAAAATCTAGGGCTTTTAGAACCGAGAAATTACCATTGCTTCCTGGAGAAAAGGATGAAAAAGAACAGAGAAATACCGAGGGCTCAGAGAAACCCAGACAAATCAAGTACATGTTCGTTAGCTGCAACTGTGACCTTGTACGCTGGGAAGATCTGCAGGTAAGGTCCTGAGGTCTCCCCTGCCCATCATTCATATCACGTGCCTCAAGTTATGCAATAAGCACACTGTGACATGAAACGCCTTCATCGTCAGAGGACTACACTGGTACATTTCTTTGTATCTGCGTAGAAGGGAGGCCTGCAGAAGGTGACAGAGATCATGCAAGGTAAGGAGGGTATCCCCAAGGAGTGGAGTGCTAGAATCCAAATGGGGTGAGGAAAGCAGATGCCTGCAGATTATGGAAGCCCCAGCAGATTGAGAAAGTCACGGTGTGGAGCAGGAAATGCCTTGTGTGGGGTGTCAGAACCTGGATTGAGCTGAGAGTTCCGACATGGGTGGTCTCCTGACACAGGGAGTCAGAATTTGAGTAGAGGGAGGAGCCACCATAGACATGTGCCTACATGCAAAGGGACTGATCAAATATGTAAGTCTCTTTAGGATAACAGAATCCAGGTTTCTCAGTATTGGACAAGGGCGTTGCAAATATAGAAAGGGAAAACACTAGAGCACAAGAGTGAACCTTATAACATTGGATTGGAAATGAAATTATTAGAGTGAACTCATTGCTTCTCAATATGCACAGACATGGAATTAAAGACACATGTAAATGTGTGCATGTTTGTGTGTGTATGTACATGTGTATATTCCCTTACTCTGTCCACTGTGACCCTTGAGAGTACTGTCACCCCAAAAGCACAGATCTAATGCCCATGTCTTGTTTCTAAATCTCATTGTCCACTAACAGGAATCAGGTCTCTTTGGAGAAACAGCAGATACCAAGACTGAGTCGGAGAAAGCCTACAATATCTTCTTGTGCCACAAAGCAAGGAAGTGCTCTGAGAATAATGGGGACTCTGACAGGAAGGAGGATGGAAAAAGAGAAACAATTCTTCTATTTCCATATCTCCTCAGACACACATTGGAAAAATATTATACTATAGCCTTTAAAATAAAAATTAGTATCAGAAGCTCACCTCACGTTAGACAAATTTATTTTTATCAGTTTGATTTCAGCTTTATATCCTGAGACCATGCCCTGATTTCTGTAAAGCCACCAAAACAAATACACCAATGCCAACCATACCACAGTAGAAACACAATTTTTTTGATGACTAGGCCTACCCCTTATATGTGGTCTCCTCCTGTTTTCCATTTCATTCATCTATACATTGATTAATCGTCCAACATATGTTAAGTTCCTGTGTCCTGTGAAGTGTTTTGATAGTGGTTGGGGACGCACAGCAGCCTAGTGAACATCTGGGTGGATGTCTACCCTGAGGGGCTCACACAGTTTTAGAGTTGGTCAGAGGGTTGGAGATAATTATTTAAGCCTCTCCCCACGTACAGGTTTCACGCATGAGGAAATTAAAAGACACATAAAAACCAATTACCTTTTAACCTTCCTAAAGCATATGTTCTCCAAACTAGATCCTATATGTAAACATATTAAACATGTCTTATTGTTCCTGCAAGCCTAGAAGCATTGCACGGATGAGAACATTATTCACAAATGCTTGTTGAACAAATTAAAATAGCCCATATGCTCCATGAGAGTCACTTCTCTATCCTAGCCCTTGAACAGTGCCTGCCATAGAGTTGAGTGTTCAACAAATACTTATTGAATAATTTTCAAAAAAAGATATCCTAAGTGAGCATATATATTGAAGTGGTGGTCATTGCGGGTGTTTCGCCAGTAGGCAATAGTTATAGCTGTTAAGGCTTTTATTTGGGGCTTCAAATGCCTCCCTGCCCTGTGTAGTCCCTGCCTTAAACCTTCCTGCCTCGTCCCTTTCTGTTAATATATCGCTGCACTCCCAATGCTGTATCAGGGTCAGATGACTGAGATGCAGTTAATGTGCCTCTTTGACCTCTAGGAGGAGCTGTGACTTTACTAAACTTCATGAGGCCGGTGGGGGAGAAGAGAGCCAGGAGGAGGGAGAGATCAAGGGAGGAGTGAAATGCTCTGGCATCAGGACTGGCTCCTTGTCTGGCTGAGAGATGGTGTGTGGACAACTCGAAGACCCTAAAGCCCATTCCACGTGGACCTTCTCCAACCTGTGGAGCACTGTCTCTGCAGTCCTTTTGGGCCGCGTCCTTAGAGTCTTTTATTACTCAGTGCAGTTTATTGGTGTATGTCACTGGGTATTCAGGTCCAGCACCCCAAGTGGCTGAGATGCTCACTGGGGGTAAATGGTGCACAGTATTCCTTTCGAGTCCCCCGCAGCCCCCACTGAGGGGTCTCCTCCCTAGTTAGTGTTAAATCAATGTGTCTTAAATTGATGCACAACTGCTTCAGGGAAGGGCTCCCGTGGGCTGGGCAAGGCGGCCCCTCTGAGTTCATCAGGATGAGGGAGGGGGAGCCAGAGTGGATTTGTCCTGGGTCCAAGAGAGGCAGCGGGAGGACATCTGCCCCAAAGGAAAGAGTGTGCCTGTGAGGGGAGGAGGGTGCCACAAGCAGAGACCCGGTTGTGCATTGCGGGGGCGGCAGCTGCTAACACAAAAGCAGCTTTCTGAGGAACCTACCCAGGCACGCTGGGCCCCAACAAGCTAGTCCAAAGCCCCCTCTTGAGGTGCCAGTGCAGAGCGTGAAAGGGAAAGAGGAAGTGTGAATGGTAGACACTACCAGGAGCAGAGACTTCCTGAGCAAACTGTCTCCCAGAGCCAGGGAAACAAACCCGGAAGACCAGGAACCTGAGCAGGGAGACACCAGGTCCCATCCTGTGTGATGCTGCCATGGGCTCCAGGCTCATCTTCTGTGTGGTCCTTTGTCTCCTGGGAGAAGGTGAGTCCTGGGCACAGGTGGGACATCTCCATCCTTGAACTTTTAGATTTATTTCCATGGAATTGCCTCGTAAGACTCCCTCCTGGGCTTAGTCTAAATTAGATTCCTTCCTCCCACAGGCCCTGTGGACACTGGAATTACCCAGATACCAAAACAGTGGTGGCGAATAAAAGGGCCCTGAAATGTGTACAACGTCCGGGGCACAATTCCATGCATTGGTACAGACAGAATGCTGAGAAGTCGCTGAAGCTCATGTTCTTCCACAACTATAAGGAGCTCGTTGAAAATGGGACTGTTTCGAATCGCTTCACACCTGACTATCCGGATAGTTCTCACTTGTACCTTCACGTGGACGCCCTGGAGCCACGTGACACAGCCATGTATCTCTGTGCCAGCAGCAAAGGCACAGCCATGCAGAGCCACTTTCTCCCTGTGCGCAAACCCCCTTGGTCTAGCCAGGAAGCTGTGGGGACAACCTGTCCACCAGAGCCCTGAGACTTGGTGCAGCGGGACGGTGACAGAAATCTCAGACCGCAATACCTCCTGTCAAGTCGCGCTAAGCCAAAGCCAAATTCCATGCCCAGACACCAGCAGCCTGTGACCTGGCTTTGTCTTGAACAAAACTGTGCCTCTAATTGCATATAGTACAGGTGCTCTCGAGTTTAAGCTGTTCCAAGTATCTTCCAATTGGCTTGTGCCTCTGGAAATCTTTTGTGACTCACTTAACACTCAAGCCACGTCACTCCTCCTTCAAATACAGACCTTTTTCTAACTTCTTTTTCCACCCAAGTTAGACCCTGGATGTCGGCCCTCATTCCAGCTTCAAATATGCTCAGACTTTTTAAAAAACACTTCGTTTCCTTCCCAAGTGGCTCCGTCAGTGCCTGTGCCTGAGGACAAGAGTCCCCGTGAGGTTTGGATTGCTGTTCTGTAGTTCACGCTCCCTGCGGCATTCTCGAGGTCTCAGTTTCTCGTTGGCTTCTCTCTTCCACTCCGGCTTTGACACTCTCATGCTTGATTCTTTTTCCTTCTGTTTGTTCAGTCCTAACGCTACATCTTCGCGTGATCCCTTATGAGCTATCGAGTCTGATGCCCCTGGACTGTTGTTCGTAACAAGTAATGAAAGAAGATGACCTCCTGGTATTCCTGGCCAGGACTTACTACTTGGGGTTATCTTTGCCGTGCCCTGTATTTTGCCTCCTTGCTCCTAGTAACAGGCCCTCCATCCTGCACACACCCTCAGCGCTGAGCAGGGCGCTGAGCCCTGGGTTGTCAGGTGTCTGCACGGGCACAAAGGCTGCCTCCTCTCTCCTGCAGAGGGTGCTCCAGGGGCAGTGGGTGTTGCCAGAGACAGCAGTTATTCTGCCAGACCTCGCCTATGCGACACAGGAGCACAGAACACGCCTCCTCTGTTTCTGATAACCCAAGGTTTGAGCCAGGAGAGGCTTCGTTTCTGTGACCCTGCCATGAAAACCTGGCTTCTATGCTGGATGATGTTTAGTCTCCTGGATGCAGGTGGATCTACAGGGCTCTAGGAAATTCTCATCTCAGGCTTAACCAAGACAGTTTGAAACCATTCTCTTAATCTTCTTTCTTTTCCCACAGGACACACAGAACCCGGGGTCATCCAGACCCCCACCTATCAGGTCATAGAGAAGGGGCAGGAAGTGATCTTGAGATGTGACCCCATTTCTGGTCACTTATACTTCTATTGGTACCAACAGATTTGGGGACAGAAAGTGGAGTTTCTGGTTTCTTTCTATAATGACAATATCTCAGAGAAGTCTAAAATATTCAAGGATCGATTCTCACTTGAAAGGCCAAGGGGATCATATTTGGCTCTGAAGATACAGTCCACAGAGCCGGAAGACTCAGCCACATACCTCTGTGCCAGCAGCCCAACCACAGCCTTGCAAAGACACCTCCAGCCTGTGCACAAACCCTCATAGACCCGTCTCTCTCCCAGCTACTGGCACCCTTTCCCACCCAAGAGAAGGAATCCTGGTCAGGCTTGTTGTTGCAATTGTCTCCAAATAGACACATATCTGAAATTAAATTCAAGGTAGTATATCATGGGCAGAAATGGCCAGAGGCCATGGGATATGTAGAATTTTTATAGATACCACAGGGTGTGACTATGGTCCCCAAAGATGGAAGAATAGTTGCCCAGGAATTGACAAAGTGACCATTTATTTATTCCCATTCTGCTATTTTTGTTGGATTTTTTTGTTTGTTTTAATTGTTTTGGAAAAAAAATTTAACTCATAGGATGGAGATATGATTACTGAGTGGGGGCTCAGGTGTTTACATGAGAGTGTAGAGGATCCTGATGGAAATCTTCATAATGACAAGGGGCTCAGTCCATGGGCATAAATAACAGAGGGTCTTGCCCAGCATGTGGTCTAAACCAGGACTGTGTGATGATCCTGTCAACCTGGTGTGATGCATTTGGGATAATGATGTTAGCCCACATGAGAATGAGCTTGTGGGTCAGGGCACCATGTCACTGGGATGTCCAGGGCTTGGGTCTTATGTGAACAGATGTAAAGTGACCAGGAGTCTGGCTCGCCTGGCCTCCTGCCAGCAGCCAGATGCTAGGACAGGAATGAGGATTCCTTCAGCACTGCTGCTGCCCCTACCACTGCCACAGCAGAGCACCCTTGTCACCACAGGTATGGCAGGGGCTTGGGAAGTTATCCTCTTCCATAACTGCTCCAAGGGAAACACCAGAGACGTCTGAGCTGGGATCAGAGGAGGATGAATTAGAACTGAGTTGTAGTTATTCAAAACCCTTCCCTCAGATATAGCTCACAATCCAACAGCACAAAGGAGCCCACAGAGCTTAAGAATTGAAGGGGTATCTTGCCCACAGCTGCAATTGTATGGTTTGGGGACATAGGGCATTTATTTTGAGCCAAAACTGAAGAGGGACAATTTTTCCCTGAGCCACAGCCTCCATCCATCCCAGGCACGGCAGCATGACTGGAATACTGTCAGAGTAAGGCGGTGGGAGTGTGCCTGGGGCAGGTAGTGTGCTCCCTGCAGGGCTGCGGTGCTGTGGGTGAGATTCAGGAGGCTACATAGTAAGTTTTCCCAGATGAAGCATCTACATCACCCTGGCTTCCTCCTCCACAACGAAGACTTCCCCCTCCTAAGGGACAGAGCAGAGAGGGACCCTGTTGTATTTCCAGCTGGCCTCTGTTTGGGTCTATTCTTTTTGTCTTTTCTCTCTTGGTTTTTAGTCATGGGATCTTGTTTCCTCACACAACCCGCGATTCATTTAAATGCTGGATACCGTACATGAAAAATTATGCAGATAATTTAAGAATCTGAATGATTTCATCCTCCTTGGAGAAGATTCGTTTCTGCTTCTGCTAGGAAACTGTAGCAGGGGCAGGTCACCTTAAGTTAGTTGATGATTGAGCTCGACTGGAGCTGGGCTTCAGCCTTTGTGATGGCCTTTCACTTTTGCTCGTAGGTTGTAGCCATTTAAGTAACAAACTAAATGTCCAGAGTATTTTTAACTGCTTTATAGAAGTATAATTTACGTAACATAATATTTGCCCATTTTTAAGAGTGCAATTCAATGAATTTAATAAACTTTATGGAGTCACACAGCTACCACTATGATCCGGTTCTAAACATCTCCATCCCTCCCTCCCCCTGAAAGTTCCTTTGGGCTCATTTTCAGCCAATCTCTGTTCCTACTTCCACCCCAAGGCCTGGGGTCTTTGCCAGGGTCCTCATCTACTTAGCAGTCACTGAACATAAATGTTCTCCAGATCAGAAAGGTGACAGATTCTCTGCAAAGTCACTCACCTCTCAGTCTTGTCTTTCTTCTCAGCTACTTAGGTGATGATATTCAATCAGCAAATGACATTAAGGGAAAGGTGTTTTTGTAGATTGATCTTTTCTCTTTGAGATGTCTATCTCTTAAATCCTAACGGCCTCAGTAGTTCCAAATGACTTAAAACTTGTATCTCTTATGTTTTGATGGGCTTTCCTAGATGGTTGTGGTGGGAATGTTGTTCTGTAACAATCCAGTCTGCTAACTCTGAAAGCCAGTTTTTATATTTTTTAAAGGTAGGGTGCATTTGAGTATGTTTGCATTTTTGGTAGAAGCAGTCGGAAGAGAGGGAGTAGTGAAGCCTTTCCACCCTCCCACCCATGTTCCTATTTGTAAGACCTCTACCACCCTATTTACTGCCTTTGGGGCCCTGCAGGACTGAGTCTTGGCATGTGACCCTTTAGTCACAAGGGGGAGCTGTGACTCTACTGAGACTCAGGGGACCCTGAGGAAGGGCTGAGAAATTCTCTGGATGGGAGAGGGTTAAGAGAAAGATTGGGTTTATTTGCAACATGGGAACATGTGGTCTGCAGAGGCTGTGAGTCAGTGCTGAAATGTGAGGGGTTAATACAGACGACTCGCCTTGCATTGATGTGCAGGTGTGTTTGTCTCAGCAAAGTGCCTGGACTGCCAGGCTTGTTGCATGTGAGTCTGCAGGAGATTAGAAAGGAGAAGACTTTGAGTTGGCCAGGATGAGAGTCCAAATGCAGATGCAGGGAGAGGACCCCTTCCAGAAAGGAATGAGAGAGGCTCTGGAGGCTGGGCCTGTGCTTCAGCTCAGCCCAGTCCAGTGAAGCCCTGCCATGCAGTGAGCTCCTGGGCCCAGGCAGAGAGCCTGACTGGCCAGGGTTCCTTAGGGATGTTGCAGAGATAGCAACGACCAAGGGAAATCCATCATCAGGCCAGAGGAGACCCAGAGCCTAATCTCCCTCACCCCAGAATCTCAGGGAATTAAGCTGGAAAGGATTCTTTTTTGTTTTTTTTTGGTTTTTTTCTTTTCCTTTTTTTTGTTGTTTTTTTTTTTTTTTGGGGCGGGCTTTTCCCACCATTGCCGGGAACCCCTTCTTTTGGTTTTGGGCAACTTTTTTTTTCAAACCGGCACCACCGGTTTCCTTTTTGGCTTTTTTTTCCACTTTTCTTTTTTTTTTCCAAGGCCCCCCGGTGGTTGGATTTTTCCGGTTTTCAAACGGCCCATTGTTCCCCAACCCCCCGGGGTTTGAAAGGGGGTTGGCTTTGCCAACGTTGCGGGTTCCCTTCTTGAACCTTGCTTTTCACTTTCTTTTCCCTAGAGGCTCCTATTTAACCCTTAATAAAAAAGAATTTGAAATTTTCCTCACTTCTTGGATATCCAAAAATACAACAAAATTACATTTTATGTAGGCTCTAGTTAAGGAGCAGGAGGAAGCTTCAGAATATCTCTGTACCCTCTCTTATCTAGTCTACCATGCTGCCTGGAGAGACAGTCTACCCATATGGTTCAACAGGTAAACTGTTAGCTCTTCTGTGAAGATTAATTTTGTAGCTCACTTTAGAATGGGACAAAGAAATCTACTAAAGATAGCCAACTTATTTGTCTATACTGGAATCAAAATTTCTTAACTTTCTGTGGTATGAGCACCTTTCAAATCTGCTGAAAATTATACACATCAGAAAATGCAGGAACACACACTTCAAAGCTTAATATGAAATATGTAAAATGACTAGATTTAACTTAAGGCTTAGGGAATTCAGGATCCCCCTGAACTACCCCCTCTCTACTCCTTCCCTCACCAAACACGTTCACCTTTCAATAACAAACATAAGGTGATATACAATCATTTTTCAT